GTCTGTCTGTCTGTCTGTCTGTCTGTCTGTCTGTCTGTCTGTCTGTCTGTCCACCTGTTGATGTATGTCATGTATGTAATACTTCATGAATTAATAATGCCCTTACTTGAGTTGATTTATGTGGATCTTGTATTTTGGTGAAAATGTATGTCATGTACGAAGTGTCTTGTATGTGAAGTTTTTTTTTACTGAGTGCCTGAATTGCCTATTGTGTAGAACAGTAGAAGCAATCATAATAACTGCCACCTGGGCTTGTCTAGAGAGCTGCTACAGATTTCAGTAAATAAATCGTGTTTACGTAAATAGCATAGTCCTGATTCCTTGTGTCTATTTTCTCTACAGGGACTAATTGATGTCAGTCCAAACCCAAAGGTATGTTATACATTTAAATGAGTGATATTTTCACATTCCAAATTTATTCATTTCTAACGCATAATCCTGTTATACAGTATTATCCTAGATCTTATGCATGCCTAGTTAGTGGTGTAAATGTATTCAAATGTCACACACTATGTATGGTTTTAATTGGCAAAAACACATGACATGATCAGCAATCACTTGCGTGGGAAGGCATTTCTAATCAAACCAATGCAATTTACAGACAATAGCTGACCGTGATTGTGTTCACTGATTGCATTACTGTAGAATACTTTATTTTCGCTTGGAATTAATTTTCGCTGAAGGAATGTTTCAGTGAAAATAAAATCCCGTGAATATAACTTTTTTTGTATAATTTACATTCAACTTGTTAAAAATCAGTGAAAATAAATTCCATACAAAACACTTAAAAAGTCATTTAAGCGAAAATTAATTCCAGCTAAAATAAAGTAGTTTACAGTATTTGTAGAGGACTTGAAAATGCCTGCTTGTCAGCTAGCTGTTTTCCTGACAGACAAATTTAAAATTCTTCTCAAATCTTGAAAACGACATAGTTGAATGTAGATCAGCGCATTGCATACTTGCCATGTAAGCTGGGTTAAACCACAGTCCCTCTATCCCCGGTCTGGAAACGCTTCGCAGTCTATTGTCCCAGGGCTGATTACAGGTAAATAAACCATTCACACCTTTGACAATGAGCCACGAAGCTGAGCGTGATCACAAACTTTAAACAGAACAGAACATATTACCGTGATTTGTCAAAATACGAACATCTGAGAAAAAACTAACCACATCACCAAAAGGTTAATGTACAAATCTATTCACATTGAAAAAAAATATTATGGTTGAATGTAGTTTTTAATACTGTAAAATGGGCTGACTCGCGTCGAGTAAGTTAGTAAATCAAAAACAAAATGGCGCTCGTAAATAAATTCTCATCAGGGTGAAAAAAAAGTCTGCCTACTTAATTTCTGGCAGTGCTAAAGAATTGATACTGCTGGATCTTATTCTTAGAGACATGTCACCAGCATTGTAAACTACATCCCAAATACATTGTATATGCTTGTAAGCAAAAATAATGACACAAAAATTCGAATGGCAATGAATCGGCGAGAGGCCATCTTTATTTTGAACGGAAAAAGTGATGCCTAAATACGATACATATACTGTATATAATATAATAAAACAAGCACAATGAACCGATCCACCAACTACAACTGGGTTTAAGCTATCCAATAAACTAAAAAACATTGATCTTTCTAAAACACACGACGAATAGAAGGGCCCAACCGGTCAAGGTTGTTAGACGTGTTCCAAGTTGCGATCCCCGAGTCCCTCAAATTAAAGTGCGATATTCACGAATAATAATGTCAATATGCCACTATAGAAAGACTTGAGCTTCTAAATCTATATAAATTATCAAAATGTGTTTTATCGGTTGTAACATGAAGGGAAGGATGAATCGTTCGTTTCAATAGAATGCTCTGACTATGCTTCGCGGAAAGCCATACCCAGCACAGTCCGAGCACAGCGGGTTATTCACACCTTAGACAATAGCCTTTTCCAGACCGGGGATAGAGGGACTGTGGTTAAACAAATGTAATTACTTGCCCTAAGCCAAGATAGTTTTGTGTTTCAAGTTTATTCACAACAGATTTCATATTGTTCATCTGAGGGCCGGATTCTATTTTAACTGTTCCTATATATAAATGAAATCTGTGCTCCACGAGAACAAAAGAAATAGACACTTTTTTGCACCCAACAAAATTGCACTATTTAACTGTTTATTCTTCTTATGCCATAAAAAATTTCACAGTATGCTAAAATGAAAGTGTAAAATAAATAAAAAATGTCCTGTTCTATAGTACTGAAACATGTCTGGAATCATTTTTTGAAGCTAACTACAACACTTCTTTCTCTCCACAAAATATCATTACTTTCTCCAAATATAGTTTACTTTCTGTCAAATGTTGCCAACTTTCTCCAAGCATGATTATTTTCTCCAAATGTGGTTACTTTCTTCAAATACCATATTTTCTATATTAATAGCAAAGGTGTTAATAAAAAAACAGGAGTAATTTTAATAATCCATTATATAATAAATGCAATGTGGTTTATGTGCACTTCTATCGGACATCTGTTATCAGTGTAACTATAGTATGATTACTTAGGTGGATATTTATTCCAAATATGGTTTTCTCATTAGGTGATGCCTCAGTCCCCTAAGGCGAATATTGAGAAAATAGAGAAGATAGAGAAGGTTGAGAGAACTGAAAAGATAGAGAAGATTGAAGATGATATGGATGCTGGTAAAGAAAACAAACTGACAATTGAACCCAGCAATAAAGAGGATTCATTGAGAACTGTGAAAGGAAAGAGAGGTAGGCTGTTTAATTAAGTCCCAGTTGCTTAATTACCCTTGGTGAATCAAAATGTCCTGCATAGTTCCTTCTGTACATGTATACGGAGTGTTTAATGAAATTGCAGATAAATTGTTTGGCAGATATCTTCGTATAGTACAAGGATGCACTACTCAAAAGTACAAATGATGTGACATTTAATGGTTACAAGAATATAGAAAATCGGTGCTACATGTGAGAAAAATTGATGTAAAAGTGAAAGGGCATGCATGTTCAGGTAATTTAACCAATCTGAAACAAAATTTAGCCCTTTACAAAGTTCATAATTATTACCAAATTAATATATTTTTTTGTGAAAAAAAAATATAGTTTTAGAGTTTGTACAATATTGTTACTAATACTGAAATAATTAGACATAATTTTACATAAAGTATCAACACACTTTTGAATGTGCTATATATAATATCAGACCTTACCTTCTAAGGAGAGTGATCAGTCCTCTCGCGAAAATCAAGACCCAGAAGACCTAATTAATCAGTGTTGCAATCCATACAATTTTGAAGAGATATTCTGAGCACAGCTACCTTAAGCCAACTCATTACCGTGATCAGGAATGCCAATTTTATCTCTCACGTCTTTTTCAAAAGACTCGGCCTGTAATGTACACAGGTATTCTACTGTATCTTACTGTTTAATAAATTGGGAATATGTCTACCAAACATGTACTTTATCACAAATTTACCAGCTTCTTTATGACTTAAATTCTGTTACATAATACAGTCAAACCCTTGTATAGCAAACACCCAACTGAATTAAGTTAAAAGGTCTTTATAGATGGTTGGTCTTTACACTTAGGTCAGATTATTTTTGTGTGGATCTTCAATTTTCACATATTTGTAAAAAATGAATGAGATGGTCCAAAAATGCATTTGAGTTGATCAAAATCAAATTGTTTGATTGATAAAATGTTTTTTTTGGTTATACAAGACAGGTCTTTATACATAGGTTACTACTACGTTATGGCTTGGACTGCCTAAAATTGGTCATTAACGCATGTTTGAGAAGAAAATATTGCGTGCTTGGTGGAAAATTTTTCTTGTAAAATTGTTGAATGTGTTAAATAAGATCAATTTCCCTCTTATCTGATAACATTAGAAGCTGCATCCTGTTTATCAGGAAGTAAATTAACTCCTATTTAAAGGGTGGTAATAGGAAGCAGATCAGGACATGTTATGCTCTGAAATATTGACAATACAGTAATTAAATAATCAGTGTCAATTGAGGGGAGGGGCGTAGCAATACTGTTCTGTTGGGTTTTACATGGTCAGCTGACTTGCACTGAGGATGACTTGTGAATTATATAAATTGGCCATTGTCAATATATTGATTTTTGACAGTTTAATTTATTGGCTCTGTACAGCAAATTGAGTGACATGTTCTATTGTTTTATTTGCATAGTGCCACATGGTTGTTGAACTCACCTCATTGACAATCCTTGTAACAGAGTAGGTTTGGTGGAGATTGCTAGCATGCAGACAATAACATTGATGTTCATTGACAAATTGACCGTTTTATTTGTGTACGTACAGCTACCTTAGTGGGCCTTGTGCTCACGTGTTAAATTTTACTTCAGCTAGGGTTACCTAAAATAGCAGATACTCACTTCAGCTGTCAGTTTATAGAAAAAATCTACTGTAGATGTAGGTAGTAACCTGTTCGTTTCAGTGTTCAAAAAACTAATATTAATTAAGTTTAATTAATGACAACTCAATACCCCGAGTTTGACAGCCTTTTGATATTGTCATGTAATTTATTTCTTTACCACCGGTTATTCTTAGCATCATGAATTAACCAAGAGTTAGTGCATGTGGTTTGCGTGGTACCATGCTCTTTAAATTTTGTTGTTACTCTATTGTACATGTTCGGCATCGTTTAATTTTATTTTAACATGTACTTGTAGCAAGTGTTCGTTCTTTTGGTTCGATGCGATGTTGGTGTCAAGGTTTGTCACAAATCTATTGAATTCAATTCAATAATTTTCTACTGTGTATTTGCTCTGTTAAAAGCACATCTCTAAAAAAAATCCATTAGACCGACAAATAAATTTGTTTACTGGGTCATTAAACGTAATTTGGAGTATCTCCCATATCGCATATAAACCATACATGTATTGTATACTGGATTATTGAAATATAACCTATTATGACAATAGCCTCACCTCAGTCATTTACGTAAGTGCATGTGTAGCATCTGTTATATTGAGGGCAATAATTACTTTGTGGTATGATTGGTTATGATAACTTGATTGACCTGGGTAATCTGTTTCTGTTTGAAATGGGTGTCATGTATGCATAGTCAGTCAATAAAACTATAAATTTCTACATCAAAATTACAGGTTTACAATTGTTCAAAAACATTTTGCATTTCAATTCTTTAAACGCATAAATTTCTACCCTTTTCACATTTTTATTATTTTTTGTCAAATGTTTGTTTTTTGGATCAAATGGGCATAACTTTTGATTGGCTTACATGTCTTGAGCAAGATGTTGGAAAAGTTAAGCAGGTTGACTTTGATGTTCAAGAGAAGGTTAAAGGGCTTTACACTGCAGTGCTAATGTTAACATACAATATTCAGTAAATTATTAAGAATAATTAAGAAGATGGGGGGTTTGGTTATAGCTATATTTTTCATTGTGTTACCAGATAAAATGAGTGACTACGACTCATTAAGTCAAATAAACCAGTATATATTCATTCATCTTGTTACATGGCCGTAATTAGTTTTTGTCAAACTTAGTCTGGAGAATAAATGTCTCTTTTGGTATATTTTTGTCTAACCTGTTTACTCAGAGAATTTTTTTAACAGCGGGAGATTATTCTATTTTTTAAGCAATTATTGCTAATAATTGGGGTCACCAGCTTTGTTTTTGAGAAAATTGTACATTTACAATACGCAGTTTAATACTATACAAGGAGAAAGTATAAACATGACTTTTTCAAATATGGGTTTTTATGAAAAACCTCAACAAATAAAATAATGCATAACCAACCTTTTTTTATCGATATTAAAATTTTAATATTTGTCCTTCACTTACACATGTGCGATAGAATGTTTTCTCCTGTGAAACTATTCAAAAACAATGTATTGAATAAGTTTGTACTGACCATAATTTAGTATATTTACTGAAAACAATATTTTCTCTCGTTTTACAGATATTCATAGTTGAGTATATTTGTACTACACACATGAGAAAAATAAAAATTGACCCCAAATAAAATTATTGAGATATAAAACTTGGCATTCTACAGATTGACATGATCACCCTGCCCTAGAAACATGTATTGTTCGAACTAGCAAGACATGTGACTGTGTGCACATCTCGTATTTCACCAACCAGACTTTCTCAGACTTTTTTTTTCATTATTTCTGGAAATGAACACTAATTTTGGAACCAACAGACAAAATTTGAGTAAGTTTTTACTCAAAAAATTGGGCTATTTAAGTATTTTTGTCCCAATCTTCTGAAGGAAAGTTGCAGAGTGACTATTTAGTGAATTTGTGATGAAAAGAGGGGACTGGTGTTGAAAAGATTAAATCAACAATTTCTCTCAAATAATTGTTATTCACAAATATTAAAAGAGAATGGTGGAAAACGATAAAATGTTTGAGTGCATGCACATCCAATAGACCAAATAATGCAGGATAATTTTACAAGATTGTGCACGCTTGTTAGATTTTATGAAATGTAGTTTATGATTAACTTGACATGCAATTGTGTCAGAACGCAAAAAGACATTGAATTCAAGATAAATGTACTAGTCATAACATACTACAATATTAGTGTTTCATATTTATTAATCGTACATTAAAATGATCCAACTGTGTGTATATATCAATAGAATTATTTTATGCAATTACTAACTTTTCTCCATTCGCCCAAACCATCCTTTTCTTTCTTTTGCTGTAAACTGACTGCCTGCAATCATGCAATTAAGATGTTTGCAAAAAAATATTGGTGCTTTGATAGCATAGTGAAAACTGAGACTGTTTTGCTAACCGTAATTACACTAGAATTACACAAACCAACGCGTCATGCCAAGTTCAGATTTTAAAAAGGCAATGACTGCTTCAATGAAATGACAAAATGCATCGTTGCCAATGTATGTAGGAAAATTTCCAACCTTTCTGTTATAATGGCCATATGTTACCTGTACATTTATAAATAGCAGTCGAACATAATGATAGAAATGCTAGACAAATGGTATTAACACATCACTGACTGGAATTAGTAATTAACCACGGATGATGCAATACATGTGAATGTTTAAATGTCACAACTATAATAAATACATTGATGCTACGGGAGTAAATTGTGATTCCCCCGGTGTATATTGCTTTTAATGGTTTGTTCGGTAATTAAGTCTCTGTGTTTATCTCATGAACCCCACAGTCTCTTGTCTGCCTGGCTGATTTAGATTGTAGATCTGTGTATTAACTAATAAATTGTTTATTTATATAATTCGCGCTTTTTAATGTAGATTCCTTTCTTGTAAACGAAACAAACTGAATTGATCAATTTTGCAATAAATTTTACTCCTAG